AATTGCTTATTACAACAATCACACAGTTTCGTCCAATCTAAGACAACTACTTCCTTATCATTTGTGCAAAACAAGTATGCAATTACCATCACATGCAGACAAGGCGTACTTTTGCTATATATACTAATAACAGAACAGTAAGCTGCAGGTGACCCCTGGCTTTTTTTTTTTTCCCCCATGGAACACAGGCATAGAGGTTGATTTCACAAGAATCAAACAAATTATAGTACTTTCAGGTTGAAGTAAACACTGTCAAGAAATAAAAAACTTGAATGAGAATGGTATCTTGGAGTTAATTACACTGAAATATACTTAGATTTTCTTATGAAACATAAGGAAACATTCTTCAAAACTGATCTACCCAGAAGGCATCTGTCTGTTCTTCAAGGTGCAAAAGTCATTTGAAAAAACATTACGCTGTCTAAGACAATTTCTAAACTGAATACAAACTCACATTACATTAAACAGTAAATTCTACCAAAACCCACATGCAACAAAACCCCTTTCAGCACATATTTCTTCAACGCAGCTTGTTTTATATCATAAATACCGAGTGAGCGAAAACAACTCTGCTTTTCTATTCCTTTCTTTTTACTGGCAACATATTAGTGAAACAAAATGCAAGCTACAAAAACAAGTGTTACTTATGCAGCCTTTTTTGGGGGGACTATTTTGGCTGCTGGTTTCAAAGAGTAAAAGATGCATCTCATCTTTAAAGAGGAACAGCACTGCATGTCCAGAGATGTGGGAGAAATGGTCACAAACAGTTCTGCCTCCAGTTCTACCTTCCCAGTGTTGCTGTATTGGCTTTCTACAGGGCTCGTGTTTCTACTTTCTACTACAAATGATAGGAAGAAAGGAAGCAGCACAGCATCTTCAGTTGATGGAGGATAGGGGCACAAGGTGACTTGAACTAAAAGATGTACTAAATGTTGACCTCTTGGGATCTTCTAAGAGTGAAGTAACACCAGCTGGAAGAAAAGTGACTGTAAGGGTGAGAAATGACTTGGTCTATGTGCAACTACAATCTTTATAAAAACTATAAGATCCAAAGTAAATATCTGAAAACCAGTTGGCTAGTTCTGGCTTAGCCAGCACAGAGGAATACACTGCATAGAAGTTCTTTGTAAAGCATGGAAAAAAGGAAACAAATGAACACTTACACATCATTAAGTTCAGCTACTCTTCCTAGAAACTCTTCATAGGTTAGGAAACCACTTTCTTGAACCAAAGAAGCATGCTTTGCTACTTTTTCTGGCAACTTGTTCATTATAGTTTGTGTCTGGCTTGAAATCTGTTGACCCATAGTGAAGTTCTTCAACTCAGTTCCATGGAAAGTTCTCATTCACTTGTAAAGTGTCTGCTGAAAAGAGGGTTACATTTGAGTCTTCTATGGCTAGCTGCTCACATCTTTCTTGCTGTGTTAAACTTTAGCCACCTGCTAACTAGACTATTCCACAGTAACACAATTTAACCAAATCAGAAAGGGAGCCAAACAGGAGAGACTGGAGCGTGGCATTACAACTCAAGAAATACGTGTTCCTTCTCATAAAGCGTTCCTTGTATTCCACAGACAGTGACTGCACACACAGCTATAAATACACCCAGCAAACATCTCAAGATTATGGCGGCAGTTTTCGTTTTCACTATTGAAAAAAGAAGTGCTGGTAAAAAGACTCTGCTTTGGGATGCATTACTGCGCAGATGTGCTCAAGCCTCTTCAGTTTCAACCTATGCCACCATCATCCCTTCACACTCAAGTCTTTTCCCCCAGCATTTGTCACAAGGTTCCCTCTGCCTTCTGGTTCTGGAAGGCTTCACCTGCTCTGCCGCTCGTTCCCTCTCGCTAACCGTTAGGTGGGACTAACATCGCGATTTCTCCTTGCTTCTTATTCTGAAGCGGCAAAGGTACCCATTCCGTTCTGCCCGCACGGTTTGGTGCACGCGATTCAAGCCGCTACTTTCACGTCTTCAGAGACCCGCTACGGACAGAGGCCTACAGCGGCAAACTGCCTGCGGAATAGCATCAACCTTAAGAACCGAACAGCCCGGCGACGGCCGCGCTGCACAGCCCGCAGGAGAGGCACGGCCGAGAGACGCAACCGCACCCCCCGTGAGCGCGGCCACAGGGAAACGGCCGCGCTCGCGCCAGGCCCTCGTCGCCCCGCGCTGGAGGCGGGACTCTCCAGCAGTTCTCCGAAGGCGGCGGCGCCCACCCCGACGGCTCCCCGGTCCCGCCCCCGCGCTCGCACCCCTCACCCCCCCCTCCCCTTCCTCCTCGGGACGCGGACGGCGGCCTCACCCCGGCAGCCCGGCATCCCGCTCGCCGCCTCCCGACGGCAGCCCGGCGGGGCCGCACCCCGCGCCCGGCGTTCGGCGCAGGCGCGGCGGCTCCCGGCGCGCCGCGGTGACGCCGCGCTGCCGTTGGGCGGAAGGGGGCGCGAGGCCGGGGAGAGTGGCGCGGCCGGAGCTCCTGGCCCGGTGAGCAAGGAAAGCGGGAAAGCCAGCCGCGGCCGTAAGTGATAGGGCGCTTAGGGACAGGAGTCGTAGAACAGCCTCTGGAGGTCACCTGCATCCCGACGCTTCGAGTCGTAATTGCAGAAGTCGCGTTCCGTCTGTCGTTCAAAGCGGAGAAAAGGAGCGGTGCTTCCCCTGCTTCCCCTTCCTGCCCACTTGAGTCGCGCTCTTCCCACGCCGCGGCAGCCCGTTGTCCGGGGCACCGCCTGGGCTGGGCCGGGAACCCGCGGCTCTTCCTGCGAAGCGAGCGGCCCCGCGGCCGGAGGTCAGCCGGCAGCTGTGCCGCGGGCGGGAAGCGGGACGGGGCCGCCGGCGGCGGACGGGGTGCCGCGAATCACCTGTATGGGAACGCGAGCGGAGCGCCGGCTCTGCGGCGCTGAGAGCGGTTAAAAAGGAAAGGCGTTTGACAAGAGGCAGAGACGCCCTTTCTGAAATCTCTCCTAAGTTTCTGGTGGTGCCAGGTGAGGGTTCGGGCTGCTTGACATCTTGTCTGGAAGTTCATCGAGTGTTTGCTTTGCAACTCCATTAAGCCGTGAGCAGGAACATCTTATACTAATCCAAACGTGATGGAGCCGTGCTCAATGTACAGAAAATGTCAAGCACAGCGCTCACTGATCTGCTGTTTGTACCTGGCTTTTATTGCTGACAGGACGGTGCAGCAGCTTCATTTTAGCTTTTGTGATGTTATTGTAAGGGTAAGAGGGAGCAGGTTCCTTGCTGCGCTGACTAGGCCCCAAGGCACGGCACTGAGCGCTCCAGGAGGGTTCATGGAGGGTGAAGCAACCCATGCACACAGCCAGGCAACAGAGTGCAGGTCGGGGTGAACACTGTCTGAGTTTTGAAAGTAAAAGAGATGCTTACATAATAGGGCAACTTCTTCATTCTATTGACAAAAGCAGATTTAAAATAAAAATGACAGCAACAGCAAAAAATCAATAACTACCACTTGCTGATGAGGAAAAGAGAAGCGGGTAATTTCTTATCTAAAAACTGGAAAAGACAGTTGTTAAAGGGCGAAAAAGTCCAGAATTACCTTGTATCCATTGCCTGTGTGCTTAAGCCCATATACTTTTCTGACACCCTAGTGACAAGTGATGGCTGTGGATTTCCTGATGGCATTATTCCTGCTTGCTACTCACTGCTTACACGGTGAGTGTGCTTTCATTATGTGTGCAAGCAGAGATGCACTGCATTCCTGCAGCACGTGGCAAGGAGAGGAACTACTTAATTGAGCAGGGAGGGCTGTACGTAACAGCTTTCCTCTGTTCTCTGTTGAAAATTTTCTCTGCTGAAGTTCTGTGGATGGGCATTTTAAATTAGTGGTTTGTGGAGCTGTGTGTAACCACAGTCCTGCAGAAGTGGTGGGCTGTGTTTCAACCCAGCCCAGACTCCTGGAGCCATAAAATCTCTCTATGCTATCAAAAACAAAAAACAAACAACAGGTGGCTCCTCTAAATAGGCTATTAGCAATACCCTGCCACTGTCTGTCTAGTGGAATATATAACAACTGGGCAAATGTTAGATTTCTGTGAATCAAAAGCATGAAAGGTCACAGCCAGATATTCTGCGCAGTAGAAAACAGCATGTACATGTATGTGAGCAGTTCTGTTACTATTCTATTTAAGACTTCTTCAAGCTACTTGATCTGAAAAAACACCTTTTTGCCATAACTTCAAATATAAAAGTTATCTAAACCACGTATTCAATAAAATATTTGGTAAATTGCTGGTTGTTTTTTTTTTCCATTCATATCCACTAATCACTTGTGTAACATTGAGGTTATATGAGATCTTTCTCCTATAAGACAGTTTTCATGAGAATAAATGGTCTAGACAAACATCTCTACCAACTTTCATGCTTTATGAAGTACTCTAAATGCCTTATACCACTTGAAGCCTTTATTTGGAAGGCCTCACTTAAATACACACAAAGACCTTAAATATAGCCATTGTAATACAGTTCAAGGTTCTTTTTCCCTGTCAAATATCTGATGCAAAAGAATGATACAGATTTTAATAAATAAAACAGTGAATTATATGATGAGGATACCTTAGAAAGTTGTTCAAGGATGCTGATGAAGATCAGCATCTTTGTACCCTTCTTTTGGTAGTGGAATGGCAGTGGGCCAATCTTGATTTTTTACTTGCAAACAGACTTATTCTGTTTGTAAACAGACTTTTTAAAAAACAGTGTGTAACTACTTAATGGAAACAAATTAACCTACTATTTTACTTATGACCTAGTATTGTTTTATTTTAGGCATTAAGTTAGCAGATCACCCATACAGATATAAAGGAATTTTTCATTACATATCAATGTGAATTTCATGCAAATAGTCACACACTCGTGTCACTAACAGCAAATTTTGATTTACTTCTTTGTTAAGAAGTGAACTGTAATATGGATGTTTTATTTATTTCAAGATACCATATTCTTTTGCAAGAGCATTTATAGCTGAAGATGTAATTATTAAAAAAAAATGCTTTCATATGTTAAGATGAGAAAAAAAAATTCATGACTATTTACAGTCACCCGCATTTAAAAGCATTGCTAAGTTATGTGCTTTGTTTTATATATTTCTAAAAAGAACTGTACGTTTCTCCTCCCTCTTCTGCTGACCTTAAACTTCCACTTCTAGACATTTTACTGTGGTTTCAGGCTTGGCTTTGGCCTCTTCTGCCTTTTTTTCATTATTCTTTGTTTCCTTCTCAAATGTTTTGTCATTTGATGCAGTCTCTTTGAGAGTCGTAGCTTCAACCATTTTTTTCTGATTCTTGTTTGAAAATGGGAAGGATTTCTTGTACCTTTAAATAAAAAGAAAGGATATTAAAGCGGAAACACTGACATTAGTTTAGTATTTTATTTGTTGAGAGGTACTACCAAATATCTAGCATTTGCTTTCTCTGCTGTATTCAAGGCAGAAGTGCCACAGAGAATAGCAGCAAGTGGGCTCACTGTACTTTTAAAAGCAATGTGCCTTTTAAAGAAATATTTTCTGCTTTGTGTTTGCTTTATACAAACCGTGTATGTTCAGGATTTGTGGTACATAATGATAATGCAAGCTGGGCAAGAATGTTAAAAATGGGCACAACTTTTTGATCTCTAATGATCCTCTGTGTTGAAGACCTGTTTAAATGGCTCAAAGGGGGTAAACAAGTATTTTTTTTCTGAAGGATAAGTGTTATTCTCTCGAGTCTGACATTGAAAGAAACAAAAGAAAGCTGCATAAATAGGCTTTTATATATACAGTTGCATGCTTAAATATTGCTGTCGTGGCAGACAGCAACACTCCACACTAGGTGTGACTGATTAATCAAAAATAGGTAATATTGGTCTGACTGCTTTTCTAAAAGGGCATAGCGACAATAGCAACAAAAATTAACTGCAGAACAGCAGAGCTGAAGATTTAATTCTTTGTTTTACAGTTACATCATTATCATTACAGCCCTCTTTAGCTGTATTTATGAAATATTCACTGCCTGTACTCTAGGAGTTAACTCACTCTAAGAGAAAAGATAGAAAAACCTTACTTTTTGATGTAGCAGACTGCTAGAAGAACTGAAATAATGAAGAAGATGACTGCCAGCACAAGGAGTGCAGTGGGGATACCTACAGATAAAAGGGAGGTAAGCATAAAGGTGTTATATATCTTTATACTGGACTTTCTAAAGGCTTATGAACATAAGTCCATATTCTTCTAAAACCAGCCTAGTGTAAAAGGTATGTATGGACACACAGACTCATAGAAGAATAAAAGTAAGCAATCTCAAAACCTTGGTTACTCCTGCTCCTTGTTTTGAGAGGCTAAAAGCACTTAGGCACTCCTTGACAGACATTTGTCATACTTGTCTAATCTGCTCATCAGAGATTTTTTTAAACAACCTACTGAGAAAATACGTTTTTGTAATTAACTGTCCTTCCATTTAATGCATTTTTCCATATATTTAGTCTATTTTCCAGTTTCTGTTTGTTAGGATTAGTTTTTCACACCTTGTATCTGGAAAACAAATCACTGTTCTACTTACAACTTTCTTGGTTTCTTTTATTTTTCAGATCTGGCTGTTTTCAGTTATTCAGAGCACATGGTGCTATGCTAGGACTTTCTCAGAAATGTATTCACCCCAAATCACATTAACCACAATGAATTTCCACCATTTCATACATAAATATTACCAAAAAGAATAAAATATTAAGATCTTATACTTAAAAATTATGCTAAAAAACCCCTTTTTTATAAGCTTTGTGACATTTTATTCTGCTTCAAGGTTCAGCTATATAAAAAAGAATGCTGGAGTAGCAAATAAAACCAGCGGTAAGCAGTTCTACTGCTAACATCTATCTCACTAACGAGCTATTCTAGTTGCCCTTACCTCCAAAGACAACACCATCATTCCTAAATGCAGCAGGGTAAGTGTGGTATTCCTCTGGCATTGTTGTAGTAGTCCCCTCTGTTGGTAATATAGTTTCAGTTATACATATTATCCGAAATCTCATGTTTTTCGGGGTTTGTTCTGGTTCAGTTGCAGTGGGCACTGCTGTGGTGTTCCCAGTCAAATCTGAACCTGAATACGCAGTTAATTCTGTTGGTACACTTGATGGTAGTATGGTTGTAGTTGGGTCTGGTTTACATGAATTAATTTGAACATCTATAGTAGGGAAAGGAAATACATAAGATTACAAACATTTAGAGAAATTGTTGTCCAGCCATTTCCTTCTGGAGATCATTTGCTTGGTCAGAAAAGCATTATCTAAATCTGGCAAGCTTTTTTCAAACAAGTGGCTAAAACCAGTCGTGTACACTTTGAACCATTACGTATATAGTTGAACACTTTCAGTGGTATGCATTTTATAATTGCATACCACTGATGATTCCTTCTGAAGAGTACTTATAGTAATAATCCATATTAAAAATAAATAAATAACCTGGCCTCCTGCAGAAAGCAATCTTAACTAGAGATCCAAGCTTCAAAAGCATTCCCATTATATAATGGGAAAATAAATGCTATTATTTATATTTTCAAAGCATACACATGCACTGTCGACACTTTTGACAGTTTTGATTTCCTAGGAGGAAAAGTATCCCATAAAACTTTCAGGTAAATCAGGCACCAGAGCAAAATGAACAATGAGACAGTTCTGCTGGTGCCTACAAAGAAACAAACACCAGGCACATTCTGAGATTAAGTCATTTAAATGATGTGAATATTGTCTGTATAAAAATGTGGGTGCAAGTGGACTTCTATATGCAAATGCAAAATCTGACTACTGAACTGGCTTGTGTGAAAATATGAAAATTCACCTTTTTTTGTGAAGATCCACATTTTGAAAAGCTGTAAAGATTTTGCTAAACAAGCAGATTACAGCATAAATAACGGGAAATGACGTATGTACTGTGCTCCAAATGAATCCCCTGGGAAGTCTGGTGACGCAGTTACATTCACAGAATAAAAAGCTGAGTAACAGAGGCTTTTTAGTCTTTCTCCACAACAGTTTCCAAATGATTTTTGGTGTTACAACTACAAATGTTTTAGCTAAGAAATGTCTAGAACAGGTGGCATTTTGGCTATTAAGATGCAGAAACGCAGAATCATCACAGTGTTAATTTTTTTATTATTATCATTTTCTAGCCACTCAATCAATTTTCTTTTTGGAATTATTTGCTACCTCCTTAATGTTACCTGCCTATGCAAGATTTCTGATGCAAAATGACACGTATTTCACTCGCTTCCACTCTCTAGGTTGTAGATAAAAACATTAAAGAACAGCAGTCTCAACACAGACTCCTGGGAAATGCCACAGGAAATAGGCACAGTCTGTCTTCTTATCATTGTATGGGCATATATTGAAAAACCATCTTTCTCCTGGTCTTTCCCAACCCTTGTTGACACGTCTTTTTTCAGAATTTTGTATTGTTACCTAAAATCACTGGCAAGGTCAAGGCACTGATTAGAAATAATTTCACCATATACATGATCAGTGATTTACTGGGATGGTTACATAATAATCACGAGTATGGAACACTAGCAAGAACACAAAACCTCCAGTTAAATACTTATTTTCAGTAGATAAGGTAGAAGTAATTAAGAAACAATACTAGAAGTAATTAAGAAACAATACCAATCTGTTTTGAATTAAGATCTAATTTACATCAAGACCTAAGTTCTACTTCTGCATCTTTGATCTAGGAACAGATAGTCAAGGAGGAGAGGAAGGACAGATCTTTTTTCAAACAAAACGATTCAGATTATGTCCTACTAAAGAAGCTGTTTCCTTTTACTGAGAACAGACTAGAAATTGTGTTGATTTTATGGTCTCTTAAATGACCCTCCGTTTAATTTAATGGATACATTTGCTTTTTTTCAAAAAAGAATCAGCCTTTCCTGAAGAAACCCTCTCTTGGTCATTGCCAAAAAATATGTATGTTTACACAGGCTGCCTTGTTGCAGATTGTTTACCTACCATCTTTCAAATCACCATACCTAATCTCCTAGACAGTTAAAACCCACTAAATATATTGTGTTGACATGGCAAAAGCATCTTTTCCAATAAGATCTTCCATAGCAACACCAACTTACTATTTTGCAATGGAATGGAATTTCTGTATTGCTTGGAAATGTGGGTTTGTTTCTCTTTTTCTTTTTTTAACCTTGCAGAGCTAAATAAAGCTTAACAATATTTAAGATCGGGTGAAAGAGTCATCAAATGATAAGAACTTACATATTTGTTATGATATTTTGTATGCAAATATTTTAAAAAGAATTCAAACCCAAACACAAGAAATGTAGTTGTTACACTTACATACCTGAAGAATTGAAGCAGTAAACTGCAAATTTAGAAGCTTGATTAGCACGCCAGTTCACTAGTCCAACGCTGCCCCGACCACATTTCTTATTGGATGTTATACGAGGAATGGCAACCAATCCATCTTTTATCCATCCAGAACTACAATAAAAGCATAAGTCTTTTTAATAGTAGATTTCTACACAGCTTCACGTTAGGTAAAAGGGTTTATTGAAAATAAAGAAAAACTAATGGATGTTGTATACCTGCATGTTTCAAAGCCATTTTTCAAAGCCTTCTCAACCTGTTCTTTACTTGCCAGTTGTAGATTCAGTCGACTGCACACATTACTTGCTTCTGAAAAATTCACTTTCTCGTCAAGATACAGTCCTACACCTGTGATCCTGCAAGGTGAAAGCGTGGAACCTGTAATTTAGACATAGATATTCTAAGTTAATTTTATATATTAATGCTAACAATTATCCTCCATGTAAAATTTAAGATCATGCTTAAGATCACATTCAGACAAATTGCCTATTCTTCAAAGTTTCTAACTTGAGGGTGGCAAAAAAGTGATTTCTATAGAAATAACTACTTTACAATAAAGTATTGTCTCAACATGATAGTCTAGAATTTCAAAAGTTTCGACAGTCATTAAATTAAATGTAAACACAGCTGGCATTTGTGTTGTTACCAGATCAGATTCAGGGCTTTTTTCTTTTTTTAAAAAATGAAAAAGATAAAAGTAAAGTTGCACCAAAGCAGTGGGCTGGATTCTGTTAGAGCACTCTTCTTAACAGAGAGATTTTAAAATAGTTTCTCAATTCTTTTAAACTTATCTTTCTTTCCTATGAGAGCTGCTCTGAAGGAAACACCTCATTTTACTACGTTGCCCACAACATCAGAGACAGATGTTGGTGGTATGGAAGTAGAAGCTGAACCTTCACACCAGAATTCTGTTACATGTTATTGCAGTGTGACAGCAGAGGGGCAGCCTGACAAAATGGAGTTCAACATGGAAGTGTGGATGAAGCAATGGTGTGTCACCAAATTCTGCCAAGAGGAAAAAAATGCACCCACTGACATTCATCAGTGCTTGCTGAATGTTAATGGTGGACAAACATGCATATGAGCACAGTGATGTGATGGGCAGTGCATTTCAGCATTGACAATAGCAAGTCACTGCCACTGGTGCAGATTTTTATGAGCATGACATGCATGCTCTCATTCATCACTGGTGAAAATGCACAACTATCAGTGGTTACTATGTTGAAAAAGGGTGTTTAGAAGCTGAGAATTTTCTCTATCAAATAGTGTTACTGTGCTCTTTGTGTGTGTTGTAGTTTCCATGGAAATAAATGGGAGGCATTACTTTCAGTGCAACCTATATTGTTTGGCATGATTTTATTTTGTTTTTTTCTTCCATGTACTGTCAACTACTGAATTTGCTGAGTATGAGGCAGGAAGCAGATGGTAGGAAGAGAGAAGATAGATGGATTTATGATACTTTTCCCAAACTCGTCAACAATAGGCAGTTTATCCAGCATTTTCAGGGTTCTACATCTGGCACATTATCCATGGCAACTACCTCAGGGAAGACATCGTTTAGGTGAGATTATGCCTGCTGTACTCCTTTAGCCTGAGTTAAGGATGTAGGACAGATCTCAGGATTTTACAGAGGACGGGCAAAGATGTACTCTTTGTTCAGATATTTCCCAGAAGCATATGCCAGAAAAAAAATATTTTTCCTTTTTTTTTTTTTGAGTTGCATACAGTAATTGCCATATTAAATGAAAAGGAATAGCCTGTAAGAAGTAATTTCAAAATAGCTACACATTTCCTAGGAATATAATTCCCATACCTTGTCAAAATAAAATCAACAGAAAACACAACAAAATGCAACTAGATTAACTGGGTACTCTGGACACACTTGGTTTTTTTCTTGGTATTTGTTTAAGCTTGCAACCATTTCAGGATTTCATTGCAAACAGTCCAAATAACCAGCTCCCACAGGTATTACTTCCTTGCTGGACATTCTATACAGGCTCTGTATGTCCACCAGCTATGTATACTAGTGAAAACTTCAAAAAAATCAGTGCATCAGTCAATAGGCAGTCTACAGCCAAGGACAAAAAGAAACAACACCAGCTGATCCATTGCTATCACTTCTTAGCAACAGAGGTTCAATTGAATTTTTTGAATGGAATGATAGAACTAGCACCATGAAAAGAGGTTAAGAAGATGTCTAAGCTCGTGTGGAAGGCATAAAGAAAGGCAGACTTTCCACTCTTGCTTCCATTGAATGGGGTGCAGTTGGAAATATCTTCTGGTAAAAGATGCATCTCTTCTGGTTTTATGTTTAGTTTAATGGGATTTAAATGTTGCACAGAGCAATCATTGAATTTGACGGATTTATCTCAGCATCTGCAGAGTTGTGGCCTCCCATAAGCACTTCCTGGTATAGCACAGACCCAATCCCAGACAGATGGTGAATGAATGAGCTCTTAAGCATCCCCATAGCCAAATCATAGCTACATCCAATCCTGGCCAAATACACTGTGTGAGAATTCAGAGCTCTAAGACCCAAAAATACACTGTTGCTCAGTGAAGAGGTGTGTGTCAGGTATCAAGAACATCAAATCTGTTCAAGGAATCCCAGCAAGATGATGAATCATGGCATCAAATTTCTTCAGTTACTGTCAAATATCTTCCTGTCCAGTCAGTGTGTGTTCATGAATGACTCCTTGTATGTCTTCATCTTGGTCAAGCTTCTTGGTATCAGGCAGGTGCTCCAGCATTGTTTTCTAGATTCCTTTTTGCTAGCAAGGAGCTCTCCATCTTCTTGAGAACTTTTACATTTCCCCTCTTTCTCAGCTGCTGATGCACATCCCATTTTCAAGCTCCCATTCCTTCTCTATTGTTTATTCCTAGTTCTCTTCTCCCCTTACTTGCTCAGATGTCACTCATACTGTTAGTGCTTAATTAAACAACTATTTCCCTTAGGAAGCTGTCTAGATAGTTGTAAACTGCTATAGTCTTCAGTCATTCAATTACAAGATTATAAAATGAGAATTGCTTAATAGATATAAACAACAATAAATGTATTAATTCAGTATGAGAAAGCTGAGTCATAAGCATTAACACAAGTGATTCTAAGACATGGGCCGAAGTTTTACCTTAGAATTTGCTAAGGATTTAAAAACAAAATAGAAAAGTAAAAGGAATGTTTTGGAAAAAACTATTGGTTCCAATTTGGATTTAGATTTAGATCTTGGTTGGTTTTACAGCATGAAAATGAAATCCAGAAAGAGAAAAGTAAGCTCTTCAAGACTTTTCATCACTTCTTAGAATCACCTCTGACTTCTGCATTAAAGAAAACTCAGTTTGTACAGGAGACAGACTAATCCTTTAAAAGCATTGTGTTTACAAGTTGCCCATAGCTATCATTTTTGTTTGGTCTATTTAGTTAATCTGCTAATAACTGAACATTTCCCTTTGAGTCTTTTATAAGAAATCCATTTTACTGAGAGAGGTGGGAAAGACTAGACAGAAAAATCTCACAAGAGGACAAACTTGTCACAGGACAGGAAGAATGTGTTTAGAGTGTGAGCTTATTCTGCATTAATTCTCTTCTTACTTTTTGAAGAAGCCGTTTCTCTCTCTTTGCCCTCCCCCAAGCCCTCACTCTGATTTGTTAAAAAGAGTTTACTTGGGTTGCTGACATCAGGGAGCAGCAAGAGTGAAGCTGCTCCACATTAAAAGCTGAGCAGGGAGCAGAGGGTGACTGCAGCACAGGCATGACAGTGCCTCACAACTAAGGCACAGTCCCACAGCACCCAAGCAGGGTCACACTGTGACAGGTCTTTGGCATCCTCTTTGCACTGGTAGAGCGCAAGGCAATGTGTCAGACACAGGAATAATGAAGAAAGTGCATTTGGGAACAGAAAGAGAAATATGCTACCTATAACACATGCTTGAAGTCCACTCTGGACAGAAGGCCAGCTACAATGCATGCTCCATCAGTGAAGCCCAGCCAGTAAGTCAGTAGAGGAGTGGGCAGGTCTGGGCACAAGCAAACGACATACAACACAACTCCAAGGCACATAGGAATCAGCCATGAGCTTAACTTGACTTCTTGGGCTAATGAGCAGAGAGTACATGAGCAATTACCCTAAGTAAGGCTTAGAGGGGAACTAAAAGGGTCCTAACATCCCTAACTAAGGCATAGTCTTAAGACTCAAGGTATTTCCCCAGCAAAAAATATATTCAGTAGTTGGGATCTGTAGAAGAGTTTACTGTTGTTAATCGTGGAATTTCAACAGGACTTGAGCTGAGCATCTGATTCACCCAAGTCCAGGTTTCCTTCAGAGGCCTTTCAGTAGATAAGAAAACCAATTCTCTGCAACAGTGGTGTAATGTTCCTTTACAAAGGCAGAGAGAGTATTTACTCCTTGCAAACTGTAGTGAAGCATCTGGAAACATTTTCTATCTTCAGAAAGTCTAGTGTAGGAGGCCTCCAAGTTTCACTAACTCACAGAAGAAAGGGGTATTATATGACTGATTCTAAAAGCAGGGACATATAATAACATCTGAGGGAAAGGGGTTATCTAAACACTGTAGGACACAGCTGAAGTTGGCAATTCCCTACACTAATTTTTCAAACAGATAGTTTATATAAAATAGGAAATTGGTGTTATATTAAGCAGAGACAAGTGTTTCTGTCCTGGAGATGAGCCACGAGATCCCTCTGCAAGTTTCCTTCAATTTTCCAAACAAAGGAAGTATCAAGATATTGTCACATCAGTGCAAATAACTGTGTTAACGATAGCACTTTATCACAGAAACTAAGAACTGATTTCATATGGATTTTGCTCTCTGAGGATTACACAAAACTATTTGCTATGCTATGTTAAATGGTCTATTAAAAACAACAAAGTCACATTTCAATAATTCTAAACTTAATTCTAAATGGATTATCATAATTTTGGAACAAGCAATTCTGTAGCATTTATATATCACTTGATCTTATCAAATAATTAGACTAACAATGAAAGACTCTCCTTATGCTATTTTTCATTGCACTATCCTATGAAGAGCCTGTTGTTTCCTATGCTAGCAAACCTGTTTACACATATCCTCTTTCCCCCATTTTGCCTGCAAATCTATTTTTTCCAAGTACTTTTCTGTTCAACTATGATGTTTTAAAAAGTGGGACTTCACATACCTGTTATACAGTAATTTTGAGCCATGAATGTCATAATCCAGACTGATAACACCGCTGAGGTAACTCCAAAATAAGTTGTCATTGTCACAAACTCAGAAAATTGAGAAATTTGAGGTGATTTGTCTTCTGAGCTGAGAAGAATTAAGATACTGGACCACGTCTGAGATAGCCCTTCAGATGACTTTTTGAAAGAAACTTCAGCTGTCACTGCACTGCTTCGTAGAAACCTCAGATGTGTTGTCTGTCCCACTCAAAGGCGAGGTCACTGACTGGAAATCCGTAATCACCCTTTACACTTTCTTTCATGTAGGGCTTGCTGGAAAATTTAACTACTGCTGACTCAAAAAACACAGCTGAGGAAGGGAGATAAGACTGTTAAACTGCTAAGTCAGTAAACACTCTGAAATTAGTTTTTCTTTTGCTGTTTTTTCCTGTTTTACTGATTAACAACACATTAATCATATTGTCTGTTCATCTGGTAAATAAAAATAATTGGCTATTAAATCACAGCAAGGCAGGCAATCATACAGAGGAACAAAATTGGAGTTTTTATTTTGGAATTAGAAGGGCATCCATTCCCCACTGTTTTATTTGCCTTGATGCAGCGTATTTACCTTCATCATTTGCCTTTCAGTTCCAGTGCAAAAATAAGTACCATAATAGGTAATTTGATACTTGCTTTTGGACAGATGTGGAGATAAGCAGGATTTCTTGTGAGACTACGCATGGACAGTGATGGGAGCCAACCTATTCACTGCTGCCTTTTGTGAGCTTTGAATAAACTAATACCAACAGACTGATTCAAATCACAGATAATCCTGGCAGCCGTAACTTCAAAAACCTTCAGGAAGTCTTAGCAGAAGGCATAGGTCCCACCTCTTACAGCAGCACATACCATGGTTATGTAGGTACTACAACATAGACATGTACAGGGCTAAGTTGCAGATGGCTGCTGTGGCTAACGAAATTATGCCTCCAATACTAACAAACAAATGAAAATCTGGTTGTGTTTCAGCTGTGGTTTAGAACTGAATGTGGGTAAATCTCTTGGAGATCTTAAGACAAGCTTCTATTTATGTCTTTGTTTTACAATACTTACATACTTACACAGTGATGGCAATCTCCAGTACTGCGATCAGACTTTCAACTGAAGCTCTAAGAGGATTCACTTGCATTCATGATGTGGGAGAAACTACCAGTTATTCTGCTGCTTTCATGGATTAGTGGTCTGCGACTGTAAAATAATATTAAACAAAACCAACTCAATAGCCTTGAACTGCTAAATATATTCTGCCGTGAAAACTGATTTCCAAAGTTGGATTCTGAAGAGAGGTATTTTAAACTGCATGCTGATTTCTTTTCAAAAACCGTTTGGATGTGGTGCTCAGGGACATGATTTAGCTGTAGGTTGTTAGAGGTAGGGTAGTGTGGTTAGGTTGTGGCTGGACTCGATGACCTTCAAGGTCTTTTCCAACCTGAGTGATTCTATGATTCTAAGTTTACTACCTTGTGCCAATTGTTCTCACTGTAGCAAAGTTCCTTTAGTCAAACTCTGTCCATGTTATTGATGTTTAATTGGATTCTTAGCTGAAAAAAAATGACAAAAACAACTTGGTTAAACTAAACAAAAATATAAGGTCCTTCACGGCTTTTAAGAGCAATATACAGGTAATGAGATGAAGAAAAAAATAGAATGATAAAATGAGACTGAATTTTTTTTCATCAGTTTCTTTCTTTTAACATTTTAGCTGTTCCAAAATTGTGAGGAAGATCATTTATCTGGACTGTATCATTAGAAAAGGTCTGTAAGTTGTTTATGGGTCTTCACCTTAACTTGTGTGCAAAGAAGAGCCCAGCTTCTTGCTGAATATTTTAAATTAGCATTTGAAAAAATATGGTAAGCTATAAGGAACATCCCATCATCTCATGCCAACATGTTTAGAAATGTTTCAAAAGATGATGAAGATCACTAGACAGAAATCTTTTGGTCTGAGGAGAACAGACTTAAATATTCTCTGAAATCATTGCTAAAGGATACCTGAAACCTGAAAAATAGGAACAGAAACAAATTAAGAGTAAAAAGATGTATATGTGGAAAATACAAATATCTGGGTCGCTTTAATTGTAGCAACTATTTCTTTCAAGATTATCTTTGTCCCAGATTTTATCTCCCTGAAGCAGACCATCAGAAATTCAGCAGTGAAATTTGTGCTCTTTGTGGAAATTGAGCACTGTCTCCTTTGCACTGGTCTGGCAGGTCAGCTCTCCACAAAGCCCTTGCTTCCCGGACCTTCCAAGACAAAAAGAACACAACTCAGATAAAGAATCCTAACCTTTCACTTAGTCTCCTATGGTTGCAGTCTTCTTTCTCCTCAAAGACAAGCAGCCACTCTTTGAAGCAGGAGTTAAACTCTCACCGGGATATTTCAACATCCTCTCTCATTTTTAGGATATGACGAGGTTGACCCTGCTTACAAACCTCTTCTCTATTGACATGGGAGTTTGCTTGCTCTTCTACATCATTTTTCTGAATAAATGAAACACTAAGAACAAGATCCTTGGTATGGGTAACATGACACTACATTACACAGTGTAGAAAAGGCAACGGCATTTCAGAAGAACATTTTCATTAATATGCAGACAGAGTGCATGTGAAAAATAAATCTTTAAGGTAGCAACAGTGAGGACTTTGAAACTGTTCTTTTATTTCAAAACTCAAGTATGTGATACTATACAGTACAATACCAGCAGACTGGTGCAAAATCTTACAATGTTACAGAATTAAATATGATACAAAAAAATAGTGCCCTTTTAAAATTCCTTTTACTAGAAACATCTGTGCTGTGCAGGAAAACAATAGACGTGTCTTGCTTAAGCAAAAAATAAATATTGCACCTCAAGAAATCTATTTCAGTGTTAATGGCATAAATAGTAGATCTATTTCTCATTATCTGTTGTGATCTCTGAACTCAGAAGAGATTTAGTGTGTTTGTGTTTTAGTTTCTGTTTCTTTAAACAGATAAAAAAAACCTAATATCCAATGGAAATAAACTACATTTAGAATAGGTTTTCTCCACAACCTAGTTTTCTATCCAAAAAGATGTCTTCACTAATTAACTGAAAAATGCAAGCGAAAATATTTAATGTGCTGTTAGTCACTGTGGTCCATTACTTTTACTGGACAGTTTTCTCACAGTAGGTGTATAAATTAAAACTATTTATATTTTCATCAACCTTATCCTCATCTTTTAATCCTTTTAGAAATCCCTCACTTCTCTCAATCCACTCCCCATAATAAATAATACCTTTGTGGTTAAATTATACTCGCCTTAAACACTGCAAGTAACTCAGCTCCAATTAATACAACTACTTATGAAATTTTGCCTTGTGGACCAAGTTCATGAAAATCCATTGTGCTGAATTCCAAAAGAGATGAAGACCCTGTCCACGCTCTGGCCAACAAAAACTTAGCACATGATCAATATTAAGCAGTTGAAGAGTCCTACTGACATCAATAACATTCTACAAGAACTAACATAAGGTGTTGGTTCAACATCAGTGCAAAGGTGAATAAGAACAAATTAATTCAATTACAGACACTGTTATCTATTTTTCCTCAGTGTGCTCCAAAATGTCTGTAGTCACATAAAGTATGTATCACAATTTTTGGCATAGTGGATTCTGAATCTTCAGGTCTATTTGCCTTTTATTGCCTTATTATGTCAGCAACATTATTTCTAAACAGTTTTAAGATGAAGAAGCTGGTTCTAATAAATGAATACTGTATTGCTATCTGTAAGTTTCTTTAAATAGTAGAAGTATGGGAAATGTCACAGTAATTCTTCACTGTTGGGTATTCTAACTGAATCAAATATATAGCAAACAATTAGCAAGAAACTCTCTTCTGTCTTGCTTAGCAATTACAATTTTAGACCAAATTACACTTTCCCATTATCCTTTTTGAACTTCCTTAAACACTCTATATTCATCCAAAAAAACAAGCAGTATATACATAATAAAAACCTCCAAACTGCTTATACGTGTTTTTTTTTTTTTTCCAAAGCTAGCACTGATCTACTATTTTTCTTTTTTTTTTTCTCCTCCACTCCTCCATGTAATTTTCTTGTAAGAAAGATTTAGCTAAAGATGCAACAAACAAAATTCACCAGTAGGATATTTGTTATTAGCAATAAACATGCAAACTAAATTTCAGAGTGTTAGAAATCTGCTTTCTTTGATAGATTGAGCTTCAGTTCAGACTTTACACCAAAAGAAGACGAGCTCACGATCCCAGATCTTATGGGATGATACCAAAAGTGCCACCTACACCTCTTTTTAGGTTTTGTTATATATCCCATTCGAAAAATAGAGATGGTCCTAGTTTTACAGTGTATCATAAAACGCATGTATGAATGTACTTGCATACTGATAATTTCCTTCATGAAATTAAGGCATCCACAAGACATCTTGTCCGACAAAATAATTTTAACCTTCCACTGGCCTTATACCTTTCTACCCAAAAATCATGAACAAAAAAAAAAAGAAAAAAAATTACATTTTTAAAACTCAAAGGACACAAATGTCATTAATACGTCAACAACAACAACAAAACAATGAATTCAGGAAATGCAAAGTGAAACACTAACTGCAAATATGGTTTTAATCATAGCCTTCAAAATCAAAGGAAAGGTGTCAACATCTTGTGCAAATCTTTCTTTTAATTGCCTGCTGGTTGCTGATTAGTGCCAAAACCTTATCATGATTCAATATTATTTGAATCAGTCATTTAAATTAAGAGGATAAAAATAATTATTTACCAGGTAATTATTTTGGCAAGCTATTTTCACAATGTATCACCAGGATTGATGGGTGGAGTAACTCACTCGTGTAACAGACGTAACAGATGACAACTGTACAGGTGACTAAGCACTACCCTTAACAATAGTGTTCTAATACTGTGCTCTCTCAGGTACCATAAATACATGGTGTTGCTTTGTTATTCAGTGCGTTGCTCATGTTGAAATCCTGAGTTCCACCAGGAATACTGATGGGCAGCAGAACAGCTGGCTTTTCCTTCAGGTCTCTCTGATACTTCATCACAGGAGCTGTATGAATGGTAGATTCCCAACACCACGGCAAAAATGATTATTGCAGCCACTACAAGCCATACCACATTCCAGTGTTTACAGAGTTTGGGGTACAATATATATAAATAATTAACGATGACTTCAAGTCTGCTGTAAAATGAAAAGAATACCGTTACACGTTAATAATATGCAAATCAATTACCTTGAGCTTGTAAATTCGAGGAGTTTCATATCTGCATCATGCATTATTTCTCTTACAAAGAAAAACGCATAGTCAGGAAAGAATCACACATTTGCTCTTTCAAGAGCTGCTATACATTCAAATATAGGCGATATTTGCAAGACGACTGTATGCAGTTACCAAGCAATTGCCTTGGCTTCTCTTTCTCCTACCTGTCAACTGGCAAATGTCAGAGCTTGACACAATTTAAAATTCTGCCTTGTTTAGCTTAACTGAGCAAGCTATGAACGTCATAATTCGTCTTAAACATTTCCTCATGAGTTTCATGACTAATGAGATGACCATCCTGAACATGGCTGGAATTTCAAATTAATAGACATTTATAGTCATAGTAATCTTGGAAACAGTCCTTTGGGATCAGGTAAAGATGCCTAACATCTTGGGATTGGATATTTTATTTGCTTTGGTCACTATTGAATTTCTCTGTAATGCACAAATCTTTTTTAATTTTGGAATGCAGGAAATTGAAGTTCTATCAAACAAGGTTGATAGAACTCAATCAACTCCAAAATAAAAAAAATTAAAAAAATAAAAAAAAAAGCTGAAAGCATAGAAAAGTTTTTCAGTTAAGCACAAATGTTTCAGGTATGATAAAGCAGAGTATACAAAATCCATGCTGTATTCAAAGAGCATTCAATGAATGTAATAAATGTGTCCCTCTGCTGAAAGCTGGGATAGCTTTCCATCATAGTGCTGTTCTGCAATGTTTATAGAGTTTCTAAAGAGAGCAAGCATGTGCCCCTCCAAGTCATAGGGAGCCCAGCATTGTTGAAGAGTTCATGTTAACCTGCATTTCCCTTGTGAATGCACATTCTGAACACACTCTAGTGTGGACAGACTGGTGAAGACTTTTTGGAAACGATGCATGCACAAATAAAGGCATCAGATTCCTGAATTACAACTTTCTTCTGATAATATGTGCTACAGAGAGATTCATTTATCACCAAAAGAACACTTGTGGAATATTTTTACTTCAAAACCTGTCCCCATCAAGATCAAACATTTTGATGTGCAAAAAACCATAAAATTTTAACCAACATATTAAAAATAAAAATTTTGCATTTTGCAATTGTACTTATGTGGAATAAATCATTCTGTGAAACTAGTTAGTTCAAATATCCTGCCCTAGACTGGAAGAAAACATACTAATAGCATAAAGCACACTTGATTGGTACCATGAATATAGTGTCTCCTACCATATGATCACATTATACACCAGTGTCTTACCTGCTTTTCAGGCTTTTTATCTCACTGTCATTTTCACTTTCTTCATGTTCATCATGACTTTCTTTTGGTGTCTCTTCATCTTCTTCCTTCAGATCCTGAAGTTCTTTGGTTTTCTTCAAGCCCTCCTGATAGCTTTAACACAAATAATTTTTCTTAGTCTGTAAGCACATTCCTATGTAATGAGAAACTGGCTTTATATTTTGCTACATGGAATAAAACAAAAATAACTCTGTTTCTGCAGAACTGGAACAGGACGAAAGATTAGCTATGAATATACCACATAGCCATCCTTATCTAATAGATTATTATATTAGCTCCGTTAGCAAATTTATCTTGGAAAAGGAAAAAACCATTAGAATCCTCTGCAGAGTAGAACTTCTGTTTATTGTAAAGAAGATGCTGTGTATTTCTGATTATTGTTTTTCTTAATCATTTTGGGGGCCATAGTGGTGCGGCCAGTCCCTTTTCAGTGGTGAGTGGAGACAGGACAAGGGGAAATGGACATAAACTGCAGCATAGGAAGTTCCACACAAATGTGCACAAGAACTTCTTTACAGTGAGGTGATGGAGCACTGGAACAGGCTGCCCAGGGAGGTGGTGGAGTCTCCTTCTCTGGAGATGTTCAAGACCTGCCTGGATGCCGACCTGTGCGACCTGCTGTAGGGAACCTGCTTTGGCAGGGGGGTTGGACTCAATGATCTCTGGAGGTCCCTTCCAACCCCTACAATTCTGTGATTCTGTGAACATTTGCTAGATACTCTAATTTGGAAAATAGATGCAAATTCTGGAAAATAGACACAAATCTAGACTGAAGGTGTATGACCTGTTGGAGTCGGATCACAAGCAAAATTTAATGTCATGTTAATCAGTTCCATGAAACCTTTCAGAATATGAATTTTAGAAGATTGTTCTGGAATGTCCCACCATGAAGGTGAATGCTATCAACATATGAACATCCATCCAACTCAGAATCTCTGAAAACAACTGGTTCTCTCAGACAGGCTAACATAAATAAA